GGGCGAGGGCGGAGACTGGGACGGGGCGGCGCCGGCTCCCTCCTCCCGGCCAGGCCCGCCTCGACGGCGCCGCGGATCTCCGCCCGCCGCGCGCGCACGCACAAATCAGGGAGCCTGTGGTGGACTACGCACGTATACACTGAGCAGCTTGTGGTCTCCACGCTCGCATACACACACACACACACACACACTGAGGAGCCTGTGGACTACAGATACACACAACGCACGTCTAGGAGCCTGTGGACGCCACACACAAAATCACGCGCACACAAACCCACATGTCAAGGAGCGTGTGGACTGCGCGCGCGCGCACACACGTGTGTGTGTCTGTGGACTCCACCTTCACTCCCTTCCCTGCCCCTCCTCCATCTCCTCGTCCTCCCAGGCCCCCAAAGCCTGACCGACAGCATTCACCCGCAGCTGGCAGACAAAACAAGCCCTGCAGGCCTTTAGGAAACGTGGGCCTCGACCCACCAAACAAAACTGTAAGGCCCCTTGGAGATGGGGGCCAGCAGGGTCATATCACTGATTCCTCGGGACAGGCAGAAAACATAACAGGGAGGAGAGTGAGGGTCACAGGTTTATCACAAGGTCAACAAAGGGGGACATGGACCAGAGCACACTGGCCAGTGCCCGCTGGCCCTCCAACGAGCCCAAGGAGGCAGTGGACACCCCTTACTGAAACTGCCAAGAGACCTGAACAGGCAAGGGACAGGAAAGCAGTCCTGCAATTCTTGGGGGTCTTCCACGCCAGAGTCTCCTTCCTGGACAGATATATCATGAGCTTTGCCAGGGCCGGGAGGAGGTTGCCCAGGAGGCCCTGGAGCCTAGAGTGGGCTCACCCCCACCCCCTCTTTCTTTCCTCACAGCTCTGATCTGGGATATGGGAGGAGGAGGAGGAGGAGGAGGCTAGTGAGCTGCAGGGTAGGGCAGACCCCAGAGCATGGAGGTGGGAAGGTAAAGGTACAGTGAGGTGTCAACCGGCAACCAGAGTCTGCTCAGGCTGTGGCTACTCCTTCATCTTCTACCGCATGCAGCCCCTCCAAAGAAAGGGGTGTTCTGCACACAGAGAGCATATCTGCTGCCCAGTACAAGGCAAAGGGGCCTTCACTGCCATCCAGCTGAACACTAGATTAACTGTAAGTCATACATGAATGAAGAAAGATGACCAACACCACCCTGGTTTTGCTCCCCAGCTTGAACTGAAAAGACACTCGGTTGCCAAATAAAATACACCTAAGCTTATAGTAAAGCTACCTCATTTAAATACATTTGAATGTAGTCCCCACAGGCTCAGAAGGATTTGTGATAATACATAATTTTCCATATGTGGGTCTACTTCAAAAAGGAAGGGTAAAGAGATGAAGGAAAATAAGGATTGTTACTCATTTAAAGAATAAAATCTCCCGCACAAGAATATCCAGGTTGTTTTTCTATTTCATGGAGTCACAAGTGATGACCAGGCAAGAGCAAAATATATATATATATATATATATATATATATATATATATATAC